ACTTAATATTATATTTCATATATATATATATATATATATATATGTATGTTTTAGTCACCAGGTCTTTAGGGCTACTGTGAGAGGACTACAGTGACCTAATTTCTATCTTATTTAAATATGCTTAAGGCTTTTTAATGCCTGCTTATACAAATATTAAAGGAATGCACTATAGTAGTCAACTTTAAAAGGGATCATATAGGTTAATTTTATTAATAAAGTATCTTGAAAAATCTCCTCTCTACCATTTTTGAGACTTTCTTTATCCTTTTTTTTTTTTTTTTACTAATCAGATGCGTTAGTTTATCTCATTTTAAAGAGTGTGAGGTTGCTACCAACTGTTTTGCCTAGTATAAACCTATATTAATTCATTGACTGAATGAATTGCAACCTTTCAGGTTTTGTTGGTAGGTTCTTCAGGCTTTTGCATGTTTTGTAAAATTAGTGAATCACAGGGATTTTCTATGGAAAACATGTAATCTATATTCTGATTTCAAACGCTTTCCTAAAGCTTTATATTTTTATCCAATATCCTTGTAATGTTCCCAATTTGTGGTTTGAAATTTTGACTTTTAAGATAGGAAATAATGTATTAAGTGCTTACTCAAGATTATAAAATCATCAATTTTGATGTTAGCAGTTTTATTTGGAAAATGGTCATATTCTCCATTTTTATTACTACAGTCTCACAGGTAAATGACTTTGAGTGTGATTTTGTGCAATGATATAATCACAGAATCACAGAATCATAGGGGTTGGAAGGGACCTCCAGAGATCATCGAGTCCAACCCCCCTGCCAAAGCAGGTTCCCTACAGCAGGTAGCACAGGTAGGCATCCAGGCAGGTCTTGAACATCTCCACAGAAGGAGACTCCACCACCTCCCTGGGCAGCCTGTTCCAGTGCTCCGTCACCCTCACTGTAAAGAAATTCTTGTGCATATTTGTGCAGAACTTCCTATGCTCCAGTTTCTGGCCGTTTCCCCTTGTCCTGTCTCCACACACTGCTGAAAAGAGTCTGGCCTTGCCACTCTGCCCCCAGCACCTTGAATGTTTATAAACCTGGATCAGGAACCCTCACAATCTTCTTTTCTCAAGGCTGAACAGAGCCAGTTCACCTTGCCTTTCTTCACAGGGGTGATGCTCCAGATGAAGTTAAATATCTGAGTGATAATATTATGCATGCTTCGGTGTAATTGTAGGTACCTGTAGTATATGAGCCTCAGAGAACTGGCAGTTTTTCTTTTTTAAAAAATTGTACTTCTTTTTATCACTCATTATAAAGGTTAGAAACCAGTGTACTCTCATTTTGAAAAATGCACACTGTGCAAAGAAATTCATATTATACCTCTCTCCACATGAACTTCCAGACTAATGGCCTCAGGAAAATGGATATAGAATTTTTTGCTGTATTACTAATAACATCTGCAGAGATGAAATTATCAAGATAGCTATTAATACCTCTAAATTAAACCTTACTTATAATCTGCACCGTGCTGAAGGTAGTTCTTGACATACTCTTTGGGAAATCTGCTCAAAATAATCAGCCCTGTTTATGCCTGCACAACAGTGAAGGTGCATGCTCCTTTCTCTCCCTCCCCTCTACAAAGTTAGCCTTTGGTAGGTAGACTTTTGATAGTGCTATGAAGAAGCATTACACAATTCTCAAGCTAATGCAATGATATCCTGACTGGGTTTTACTCACATTTGTTAATAAGAAAGGTCCACTTCAGTGCATTAATTTGAGAGCTGCTGAAAATGAGGCATTACAGCAACTAGCAAGTTTAATGTTGAAAAAACAGGAACGGATGCCATAGTTTTATGATCAGATTCTAAGACAATGTGGGGCAGGAAAACCTGAGTTATGTATTTTTTCTTTCTTATTTGTATATAGGTTTTAAAGAATAGCAAACTGATGCCATCTGTAAACGTTCCCAGAAATAGTAATTACTGACTAATTAATAAATGACCTGAATTTTAACTGATAGATATCTGGTATATAGAGGTTCAGATGTCTGCAAAGCTAAACAATGACTAAAAGGATCTAAAATGTTTTCTGGTATCTGGGAGAACACTGAGGTACCTAGCTCTCTTCCACATGTTTAGGGTGAAATTTCCTTTGGAAATTTTCAACATTCAATTTGGAGAGACTTCATACACTAAAGGGACTTTTGCTACTGCAATGGAGAGGAGGAATTAAAGCTCTGCAGCAGCATATTGCTTGAGTGCCTTCTGCTTAATGTAAACAATTAAGTAGTTATGGATCTCACTAACGTCTATCATCTCTTCTCTATGTAGTAGATATAGTGGGAGTTCTGATAACATAAGAGCTAGTTAAAGTATTTACTTGAACCTCAATATAAATGTTAATTTGTGATTGGAAATTTTTGATTGAATTATTTTGTCTTCCCAATCTTTTTCAAAATGTGATAAAATAAGGAATAGGATAGGGCAAGGGGCAGTGGGTGCAAGCTGGAACACAGGGGGTTCCACATAAACATGAGAAAAAACTTTATGGTGAGGGTGACAGAACACTGGAACAGGTTGCCCAGAGAAGTTGTGGACTCACTTCTCTGAAGACATTCAAAACCTACCTGGACGTGTATGACCTAATCTAGGTGTTACTGCCCCAGCAGGGGAATTGGACTAGATGATCTTTTGAGGTCCCTTCCAATCCCTGACATTCTGTGATTCAGTGAAGGAAGATTATTATTATTTTTTTTAATGCTGTTGCTTACTTGTGTCCAAGAGATACTTGAATTTTTGAAAGAAGACTATTATTTAATGGAGTTTTGTCTCCCTACAAGCCTAAATGTTCTGTATTTCTAAAAATGCATGAAGAGTGGGTTTTTTATGGCTTTTGGTTAATGTTTCTTTTTTTTGTTTCTGGTGTAATATAGAAGAATAAATATATAATGTGTGGAAGGGAGCAACGTACATATAATGCAAATCCACCCAGCATTAGTTTGTAGTTTCAGTACTCAATATTCTGAATTCTATAAGAGGGAATGTTTGTGTGCATTTAGTGTTGTGCCCGTGCCTAAAATCTTACAGAAGTAGGTCCTTCAACATTACGAGAATCTCAAGACATAATTCAGATAAAATTGTACATTTCCAGACGATGTTAATAAAAACATTAAATAATTCACAGGAATAAATGCATAGAAAATACTTAAAATAGGTTTGAAATTTATTTTTGGTTTTTAATAGGTCTGTTCCATTTTTGAAAATTGTAATTTAAAATGTATAATTCAGTAATGCTGGTAGGAGTTATTATCCTGCATTAATACTTTGGCATTTTGGAATGTTCTGTGTAAAACTTTAATGTCTTTGTTTTTATTAAAGTCATTTCAGCAAAAATGTGGTCCTGCAGTTTGAGATATCTTCAGATGTACTAACCTCATTCAAAGACGTAAATGAAGTTGAAGCAAAAATTGTAGTATTTTTCGTTTTCCCATGAAAATGTGATTATTTGAGTCATTATATGGCAATACCTTAACAGTTTAAAAAGTAATACTAGTTTCAAAAGTCTTACTGCTTTCATGACTGGGCATATGGTAAGGGTGGTGAGAACTAAGTACTAGTATGAGTTGCATTTATCACTAATTTAATTTCTTCTTGACAACTCTTAAAACCTATCTGTCATATATCATAATGTAAGTAAGGAGTAGCTCTACTGACAGTAAATGTTTTCAGTTTAATTGTTGAAATGCTGATTTGTATCCACAGAGTAGCAGGAGAGCTCTTGTCAACTCTCCTCTAGTTAAATCTGCGCAACTCTTGGGTATAAATAAGACTCCATATGTCAGTATGTGTAGAAAGCTAACCAGTTCCTTCTGGCTCTGTTTAAAACACTGACAATCCCTGTGCATAACCTTATTTCAGTTTTGAATGGCTTATTTTAATTTTCAATCAAGTATAGATTTGAGATAGATTTAATTAAAACAAAAAGTCCAACCAGTTTATAACATCAAAGATCAGCAACTTCCTGGGTTGTATTAGTAAGAATATAGCTAGCAGCTCCAGGAAAGTAATCTTTCCCCTGCATTTCTTGGTACTCCAATATAAAGCACTGATGTATGGGAATGAGTCCACTGCAGGGCCATCAGTGTGGTCAGGGGAGTGGAGAACTTGAGATAAAAAGGAGACAATTGAGTTTGTTCCCTGAAAAAGAGAGCGATCAGAAGAGACCTTATTGCTGTCTGTGCTGTTTTATTGAGTATTCTTCCTGGTGGTACACAGTGGTAGGATGATATGCAAAGTTGAAAGGACAGAACTTGGAGAAAACTGATTAAGGAAGGAAATAAATTTTTGTGAAGTATGATCAAATACAGGAAAAGGTTGTTCAGGAAAACGGTGGAATCTCTGCCTCTGAGGTAGCTCAAAGCTTGACTGGGCATGGTCTGCACAACCTTATCTAAGGACACCTGTTTTAAACAAGAATTTGGACTAGATAACTCAAGCCTATATTCTGTGTCTATGAAAAAGTGCTACTTGGAAGTCTAATAATGTGTTGGCTTCACAAAATTATCTTAAAACTATGGTAAGAGTAATTTATGTGTAGATGGAGTTCTCACTGAAGGTTTTTTTCCTTAATTTATCAAGTTTGGAGAAAACAGCAAGGTACTTACAAGTTAGCTTGCAGGAACAGAAATTTGACGGGCTTTCTTCCCACTAGAACTTTGTACTCAATAAGTGCTCTTGATTTAATAACTGTGACTGTAAGACCTTCCCAAATAAGTAATAGGGGGTATGGAGCAGGACAGTAACGGAGGAAAAAAGAAGTTATGGAGTATGGAGTTATCTAATTCAGTGTTAACATAGCACATGTGATTTCTGTGAAAAATGGAATAAGGTTGGATTGTCTGTCCTAGTCTTGCCCTTATCCTGTCTTAACGTTCCTTGAGGTTCGGGATTCACCTTTCTCCAAGGCCATATGGAAATTACCAGTTTATATTCTATAGTTGGATTTCTAATGCTTTTTTTTGACATTTCATTTCAGAGGGGGCAACACAGAGGATCCCTCAGCCTTATTTTAATAGAAGCAAATAACCACTCAGATGCAGCATTAATCCATTACCTGGGACTCCCAGTACATCAAAGAGGATAACACTAATCGTGGACCAGAAAGCAGATCCTTCCTTTTCGGCAGATTATGCTTTAGTTTTCTGAGGTAGACATGAAAAAGTGTTTTCTCATTTAAACTGCACCCAGATGCATGTTACATGCTAATTCACTGTTCACGTCTCTTGTGGTAAGGTTTATTTTTAGCAATAAATGTGGTTATGTTATATATACAGGAAAATTTGGAAATACTGGAATTTCATGTAATAGATAAGTATATTTTGCTCTGGCAACATTATATATATATATTTATATATATATATATATTTAAATATATATATATATATATATTTTCTGCTGCCTTTCAGAATGCCACAGCCAACTTTATTTGAGGTAAAATGACAATTAAAAATGAACTGTGATGTGTTTCATTGTTCTAGGTTTTTCTGGGAGTCAGTTTCCTCTTGTTTTTACACAAAGACAGAGGTAAGCATTACTACTCTAGTAGGAAGAATTATATTATAACCAGCAAAAGCAAAAACAAATTGGTGATAATAGAAAACGTTTGAATTAGTTTGTGGCATAAATTAAACCTTCATAGTATTTCTGACATTTCTCATTTTAATAAAGGTAGAAGGTAGCAGGCACTCTGTGACTCATTTCACCTCCAAGAGGAGCATGCTGATGTTTTTCACCATGCCTTCTTCCAGCAAGGGACAGGGAACATTAACACTTTACAGCACATACATTTTCTGTGCACAATGGTGAAGAGATGCACATGGCAGACAGCCTCTGCCGTACAATTAGTGTCATTTCACTTAGGTCATATTAATTGCATTGCATAGGTGAGTAATCTAACAATAAATTCTGATGTGTATCAGGAAAAATTGCTACTGTTGGCAATGGTGATTTTGAAAGATCACTGTGAATTTTTGCCATGAACTTCTTTCTGCACCCAAGGTTTGAGCAGTAGAAAAGAGACACTTTAACATGCACTCTCTTCATTTTCTTTATGGTGGAAATACAAGGTAGTGAAACAGTGGGTAGAACTAAACTTTTCTTAAATGATTAGTTTTATTCCTGTGTACTTGAAATAGGCATTAAGTTTTCTTTGTGTTTAGATTTGTGGTAGTATTTCACCAACAGTGGATGGAAACACAACTATTCAGAGATGAGGAGATAGAGACTTAAGGCAATTAGAGCTTTTGAGTCAAGGAAAATAGCAGTGATTCTCTTGACATCTACGCAGTAGGTCCTGGAAATCTCTACTTTCCTTTTCCTTTACAAAATGTATTCAGAGAAATGCTTCTGAAACTGATGTGAAACCAAATGTGTTCAGCTTTTCATACCTAGTCAGAAGAAAAAAAATGTGCTTTTCTTGCCTAATCAGACAAATAATAAGCCAGTCAGCCTTTGTTAGAAATTGTTCAACCGATCTACTTACGTGAAAATTTACTTAATCTGCGTTTTCCTGATTTCTTTTTGTTTTTTGTCTTCTTATAGTTTATGTTTTTTTTTCTTCTAAATAAGTGAGATTTTATTTTATTTTCCCTAAAAGATGAAGAATATCAGCAAATTAGGAATTAGAATTGCGCCTTATTTTGAGTACTGAATCAAAGGCTCCCTCTTGCATCTTTTGGACTAAATACATTTTCTAGTCAGCACAGTTCCTGAGACAGGAATTGAATCTGGCTCTGAGATGTGGTCAACTATAGGCTGAACTATCCAAAATTGTGGCTGCATCCAGAGCTAAAATGAACTTTATTATATGAGCTTTATTGTTGCAAAACCATGTGTTAGAGATATTTAGAGGTTAGAGATTCCCTAGCACCTTGCAAAAAAAACGTTTGTGTAGACTATGAAGAAACATCCTCTCTCTCCTCTCCTCTCCTCTCCTCTTTTATATATATTTTTTTTTTGATAAAAGGGCTGATATACTTTCACAAAGGTCTCTGAGCACTTCAAATGAAAACAAATTTGAGATTAAGCATCTGCCCAGCGCTTTGAAGCTTCAGCTGCACTTAGATTTTAGCACCTACTCATTGTTGAACTCAGTGTTTTTCTTTCTTAAGGAACTGCTCCAGGACACTTTTATGAAAAAAGTAATAGGTTTACTTTGTCTTCCATTGTCTAACAAAGCAGCGAATAAAGTAGAAAAAAAAGTTGCCAGTTTAGAAATTTCATTAAGTAATAATATAGCTTTGAAAAGTCCATCTGGACTTTTGAGGTAATGGAAAAATGCTTCTCTCCCCATCCTGCAATGCAGATACATTGCTGTAGAGATAGAAATGCTGCATTAAAAAGGGAATAGGAAAAGTATTCAAGAGATGGAATCTATACGTGATTATACCTTTGATTTTTGCTCTTCCTGCTCTTCTTATTACAGCAAATGTGTGAAGTTCTGCCTGCTCTATGAGATGTGCTGAATTAACAAATATTGCTTGTGTTTGGGTATGTGCAAAGATGGATCATTTACAGGATGCTTAATGAGAGCTATAAAAATTAGGCAAATACAGAGTAACATATTCTCCTAAACATCAGCAATTAGGTACAGAAATGTGTTTTTCATCTTTCATGTCTTGAAAGAGTATGCAGGTACCAGTCTCTTGCTTGGGTAAATATGCAATTTTTATATTGTGATTTTTTTTGTCTCTGAACAATTATTGTGTCCCCCATCTTCCTGGGAATCTTTGTTGTTTTTTTTTTTTTGTCATTCTTTGGGAAGGCTGTACATGTACAGTTTTGTACATGGAGCAATTTTAGCACTACTTTGAATTCCTCTAGTCTTCTGTTCGGAAGCTAGTTATGAAAATTATCTGTATGGGTAAGAAAGGAACAGAAAAATTGATGAGGAATTTTAAAGCTAGATCCAGTTCTGACCTAGTTTAGGTCTAAAACTAGAACAGTTCTTCATGCAAATATTTATGTTGTGCTTGAGAGGTTTTTCTGTATAGTAATATCAGAATGACATTATGTACCAATTGTCTAACCCCCAGCAGAGCTCTTTATTTCAGCCACTGTACATCAGTGACCAACCCTGGCCAATTAGCAATATGCTTGATCATTAGTTGGAAGTATATTTCTTTGCATTTATCACCAATAAAGAAAGGATTAAACTAGTTCTTCTTTCTTGAATAGGTTTCTCCTCAGCCACTCAAAATTATCCCTTTCCTCATGCATTCAGTTAACACAGACAACATGTTAGTAGTATCTGTTGAGATAACAAGATCTTTCTTTCCCTGAGCACAGCAAGTTTTGACCCTGGGTTTTTATCTGCTTTTCAGAAATTTGTGCCTCTGAGAAGAATGGACCACGTGAATTACAGTAGGAAAGAAAATCTAAGGCTTAAATGTTCATGAATAAAATATTGTTAGAAAAATAAATGCGGAAAAAAACCCTAAGTTGAACAGAAATGGTCTAAAAGTGGCCTTCCAGGAAGGTCAAAATGTCTACTGTCAGAGAAGAAATATGCAGTGGTCAGAGCTGCCACTATGCCAGTCCCAGTATTGCACAGCTCCTGCTTGTTGTTCTCAGAAACCCAATCCGAGCTGTCTCAAGGACCTCTCTAGTATATATCCACAGTTTACTTCAGAGTGTCCTGATGTGAATATACATTTGCAGCTTTGCAGCAGTCTATAAAAATTAAGTATTCAGTGGTTGTGAACAGTTCAGTGAAATATCCTATATCAGAAGAGCAGTAAGATCATCTTTTTTTTTCCTCATTTGAAGCCTAATACTACTTCTTGCAATCATATTATGTTGTATGCTGTTGTATGCATGTTCTGCAAGATAAGGTTCATGATCCTCTAAACAACTGTTCAGTTTTTCTTCAAATTCAGACAAAAGGTCTGATATTTCACTCAGCTGCTAGGAATTCCTGACTTCTCAGCAATATTAAGGATAATGTTTTGTGTGTCATGCTGGGGCAGCTGACATCACTTCTCCAACACTTGAATACATGGTGTGATGTTTAATTTTCTTTCTAAAATCACTGTTGTGTATTTTGGGGGTCTTGAATTAGAAATTGCTGTTAAATAAAATGGGAGCATTCTGTATTTAGTTATCCCTGAAATTCTAAGGACTGTCTTGTCTCAGTTGCCACTGAGGAAGGCTTCTTGCATACTTTATAGCATTAAGATGCATTTGAAAATGCTTATTGAATATTGCCAGTAGCCAAAGGGTACAACACAAGAAGATACCTTTCCAGAGGACAGGTGGCAGCAGCTGTTACTTTATTCTGATCACCCTAAGGTGCTGTTGAACAATTTGATTAACCATTTTAATGATAAAATATTAATTCTTGTATATTAGTGATAAAAATCCTCCAGCAGTATATCTTCACTGAAGGTATGAGCCATAGAGCAATATCACAAGAAGACTCATTTGTTTGATTTCTCTTTACTGTGCTAAACATCACACCCTGTACTCACCTTTGTCCAAAACCTGTGTGAGTGAAATTGTAGTGCTACTGAAATCAAAGACAAAACTCCTGCTGATGTTGTTGGGCCAGAGCCTTAGGAGTCCTAACCAAGTCACAAAGAGCCACAGGAATGTTCCCTTTTCTAAACCATCTAACAGAAATTATGAATCATGATGGAAAGAGAACAGATAGGGCAATCTATCCAAAAGAGGCACGGAAGTCAGTGCATCTATAATCAGAGGCATCTCAGCAAGCTTACAAGGCATGAGGTCAGCTGCATACCTTGGTAAAATTCAGAGCTATTAAGTCTTTTTTATGATTCTTCATAACCTACTTACATCAGCCTACTTACATCAGCCGAATTGACAACAGATATGTGAGCATAAGTGGACAACCTGAGGTTCTCACTGATTTTTCAGTAATCCATACAGAAAAGACAGAAGTGTGGCACAACTCTGTTTCTACTGATAGTACATATGGCTCAGAATATCTGCCTAAATACTGTGGACAAGATTGTGCTTCTCCCTCATGGTCAGTGGAGATAAAAACGCGGCAGTAGGTATGGCTCATGATCTAATGTGTATCCTAAGATGAGATAACTGTACCTCAATGTGCATGCTTCTGCTTATTGACTGTGGAAGAGCTTTAGGCAGCTGCGTTGGATGCGAATGTTTGCTCAGTAGAGCAATCCTTTTCAGTAATCCCTGCGAGTATTAATGAAAACTAGCTGTATCCTTAAGACTGACTTGCATGTATTTCTAAATGCTTATTGTTACATTTTAGTTCTGTCTTATCCTTATTTTTGCTGATTGTACCTGTAAGTTAGAGCATAGCGTGAGTCCTTCTACAGTAACCTTGGCAAAATGCTGAAACAAAACATAAATCTTGTGTATTTTCATATTACAATAACTTTTCCATTATCATTTGAATGAAACAAACTAATGTGACTCTTATTTTTCTCAGTTCATAAACAGATTGTTGTAGTACTCTCAATAATTCTAAGATGAGCCTAGTAAGGATGCTTATATTGAAGATTACTGCCCCAGGAATTGCACTGCATGATTGGATATTAATCATTGTCACTCAGTGATGTCTTGAGATCCTTCTGAGTTCATTCTTCCCTACAACCCAACTTGCTGATGTATTTTAATTTAGTAACAATAGGTGTTCTTGTGCATTATTCGGATGATTAATGAAAATATCTAGCAGAGCTGTGCAGGCCGGTGTGGAGCCCTAACTACACAGCAGTAATGTAATTATTGATTTTGCAACTTTTGTAGCTTTTGACCTTGGTTTCCTAGCTTCCTTAAAAAAAAAAAAAAAAAAAAAAAAAAGTTCAGACCATGCAGTAATCTTTATAATTTATAGATTTTGATGCTCTTCCATAACTCACAGGCCATGTAATTCTGCCAAAAGGGCAAATTACTTTGGTTAATACAAATTATTCATAAAGAATATGTCTTAGCTATTATTTATGTTTTTTTATCCTTGTGCTTAAAATTTTGTTTATGCAAGTAATGGTTTATGAACGTATGTTAATTGAAAACTCCCCTGATTCTTTTCCCCACACTTTATATTGTTTTTGTTTCTTTTTCTGATTGCTTACTGTTTTCTTTTCCCTTGAGATCCTATAAGTAGTCATTTAGTTGTTGTGAGGCCCCTTCAGCCATTAATTATGTTTGCATGAATTCATTCTAACTGGGCAATTTGAGAATATTTAATTTAGCATAGAATATTTAATTCCTCCTCTTTTAAGCTGAATTCCTGTGCTATTAATATAAACTCAAAATTGGTAGATTAGCAGAGTTAATGTCTTCCGTTTTATTTTATTTCTTTTTTTTCATGCTGTTAAACTTCCTGGGGTCCCATGTCAGTAGTTTTTTTTTCCTCTGACCTTACTATACTATAGACCTATACTATAATTCTTTTTCCCTTTCTACTAACAAAGTCTTTTCCTGTTGGTTTTACGCGCTCTGTTTTGTGATCGGGTCTGTTGGTGTTTTTTGGTTTGTGTTTTTTTTGTTATTGTTTTTTTTTTTTTTCTTATGTTTGTGCTGTTCTTTAGTATTTCCAGTGATGTGAGCTTTTCTTTTAATAGTTTTCTATATTTTCTTTTTTGATTGATATCAGTAAAGCCAAGAGCTCATATCTCTTGTCTTTCCTCTGCAGTAGAGTAACTTGGACTTTTATTCTAAGATTTATTTGAAATCTGTCTTCTTTATTTCCAGTGTTTTATTTTGTCCTTCCTCCTTTCTTTTCTCTAAACGTTATGAATGTTGTTTTGTACTTCATCTCACCAAGATTCCTTTCCCAGTCAGTTTTTTTTGTCTTCACAGAATCACAGAATGGCTGAGTGAACTTTGTGTTCCAGTTTGTCCCCACTGCTTCTTGTCCTGTCACTGGGCACTACCAAAAAGAGCCTTGCATTGTCCTCTTTAACCTTCCTTTCATCTTCGTGGCCTCCTCTGGACCTACCCCAATAGTTCCATGTCTTGTGCTGGTGGCCCCAGGTCTGGATGCAGTAATCCAACTTAGGCCTCACAAGGGCAGAGCAAAGAAGGAAAATCACCTTCCTTCCACTCCTGGCCACCCTTCTTTTGGTGCAGCCCAGGATACTGTTGTTCATAGCCTTCAAGCACATGGAAGGTGCTGCATAGAAAGGAATAAATTATTTACGGAGTCAGGGGAGAGTAGCAAGTATCCTGAAATAGCAGTAAGGATAAGTCAGATTAGATTCTAGTCATTCTTCCTTAATGATTAAGATAATGAAGCCTCGGGTAGGAGTGCCTATAGAGGCTGTAGAGTATCCATCACTGAGTATTTTTATAAATGACTGGTCAGATTTTCCTTTCTTTTTGTCTTATCACAGAGGAATATGTTTTGGCTCTGATTTTCTGCTCTTCTTGGATAGCTAATATAACATTTCTGCAGCAAAATCAGGTCATAGATATTGTGATTAGAAACTATGAATGAGCTGTGGCTTTGCCTTATCTGTCGTATACTCTTCTGGCGATACTGTGCAATAATCAGTTCAGTTGTGTCTATCTGTATCCCATATGGAGCTCATTGTGTTGCTGCTGAGGACAGCATCAAGTTAGCTAATAAAGAATTCTCTGGGATGACACATGATGGACATCTGGCCAGAAGCTGCAAAGGAGCTAAGGTGTGATCTGTGAACTGGGAGAAGAAAATACTGACTAGCTGAAAAAAAAATGAAGACTGACACACTCTGAAATTTTATACCTGTGAACTTCACAGATATCTTAGTTTAACATATGTTCTTGCAATGCAAATTTCACATGTTTCTTAGGTATCTCCAGATATCATAATTGCTCAACGTTTTGTAGTCTTAAGTATGATGTGATTGTGTATTCCTTAGGCCTCCAGAAAGGGCAGAGAATCTTCTTGCCTTTTAGCAGATACATGTATTTGTGTAATATTTATGGGGAGAGGGAAGGAGGACACAATGAGCAGTTAATTAAGGTTTAGATTGTATGCAAGTCAACTCCATTCTTTGGTATGTAAATAAAACCTAGTACTCATGAGTTTTTTTCAAAAAGTTATTTAATTAGTGCTTTAATGGTGGGAAGCAATGCCAGCCTTTTTTAAACTTTTCAATGCAGACAGTGGCTGTTTTGCTCATAACTTTAATTAATTTGCTTACTTTTGACAACCAGTTGTCATCATGATGGCACTTTGTATCTCTGTGTTCTGCAGATACACTGCAATTTTTTTCCGCAGCATAAGTATGCACATCAATCAACAGAATACCTAATTATTATACAGTTTGCAGCGTAGACATGTCTCTGAAGACTCTCAGGTCTGATAGTCAACTCATTTTTAGAACTAGCTCAGATTCTATAAACTCAGTCCAAACCAGTTCATCTGTGCCATACAAAATTGTGGAACAGAAGTTATGCAGGAATT